GAACATAACAGATCATCAGGTGACGAGGGTCTCTCATGAAAAGATAGTTGCAACCGGCGCGCCCGCCGCCGCACCTGAGTGACGCGCGGTCAAACAGCTCCACCGCGTCCACCGCCGTCTGGTCGCGCAGGATCGACGCCGCACGGCACGCGGCGCGCACGTCCGGGAACACGATGAAGGCGGACGCCTGCGGGTGCGGTGGTTGTCGGGGCATGCAACGCATCGCATAGCTGATCGGTCGGTGAGCGATCGCTTTCGTTTCTGCGCTTCAGAGAGCCCTCCCAATGCTGTTTTGGCAACAATGATTGCCAGTCCCAAGGGCAGGGATCGGGGCGTGTTGGTGTGCGCATGCGTGCGGGCGTGCGTGCAGGCCGCAGAGGGTTGGGTGTGCGCGCCTTGTTGGGCCACTCGGGCACTGTGTTGTACGTGGCCTGGCTAACGAACCCCAGGGTGCCCTCGCTGCCGATCATGAGGTGCTTGATCATCTCGACGGGGTCGTCGGCGCTGAAGTCCACCAGCGCGTTCAGGCTGTAGCCTGTTTTGGGAGGTTTGGGGGGGGGGGTCGAGGGTTGTGGGGGGCGTTGGGCGGAAGGCCGCGGCAGCGAGGGGCCGGTGCGCGCAATGTCGCAACCAGCAGGCGAGGCGATCCTGCCCGGCAGTTCTCGAGCCGCGCCCGCGCGCCTCAGCCCCTCGCAAGCCCGGCGCTGCATGGCGTTGCGCCGAGCACGTGGGCTGGCGGGGCCTCCGAGGCCACTGGGGACAGCACGACCGGCAGAACGTTGGCAGGGAGGCGCGGCGCCGCACCTGTGGTGCATTTGATCGCAAACTTGCGGCGGATGAGGTTAGTCAGCTCCCGGTCCGCCTGCACGCGCCGCGCCAGCGCAGACACGCCCTCGCACAGCGACCGGTGGGACTGTATTGGATGGTTCATTGGAGGGGGCGCGTGGCGGTTAGGGGGGTGAGCATCAGCATGGAGGGGGATACGGATCGGGAGGGGGAGGATACGGATCGGGGACAGGAGGCCAGTCGGCGGCCCCCCACAGCCCTACGCAAGTACTACCTGCTTGACCCAGAGCCTTTCATGTCGCCCCCCTTAAGCGGGGAATCGTCGTCCAAACCGCGCTGCCGCGTCGCCGCGCGCGCCCAGGGAAGAAGCGAGGGGCCGCGGCGGCCCGCCAGCCCGCTGCGCGTGGTGGCAAAGCAGCTGAGATGGCGGCCACGGTATGCGGCGCGCTCGCGGCAGCCCGCGCGCAGGCGCCGGCGGCGCCGGCGTCGCCGCTCTACCCGGCTCACCCGCAGGAACGACTCCCGGCTGACTGCGTCAGAGGTGTCCAGCACCGTGCCGTCCGCAAACACCACGCGCATGTCCTTAAGCGTGTGGTAGGTGTTCTGGCTCACGCCGCAGCACATGCCGCTGCTGTTGTTCGACACCACGCCGCCTGCGGGGCGCGGCGAGGGAGCGGCGGGCGCAAGCTTTCAGCTCGCCGCCCGGGGCGCAGGCGGATGGTGCGGCGGCGGCCTGCGGAAATGGCCGGCGCCCAGGACCAGCCGCGCGCCTGCAAGACCTTCGCCCACGCACCTCCAGCACCCCACTGCTTCGCCCGCTCTCATCCAACTCGTCCCCCTCCCTCCAGGCACCGCGATTTGCCGCTGGTGCCCTCCCCCCCTCACGCCTCGCGCCCGCCCTCCGACCCACCCCACAGTCGTGATGCTGCGGCCGCGGCCGCCTGGCCGGCCGCCGGGAGCTGCACCTATGCATGCCGCACACACAGAGGGGCCACCCACCGAGCCCCCTGACCCCCGGGCCCCCCACGTTACCCACCGATCATGCAGCTGTCGATGGAGGAGGGGTCCGGCCCCATCTTGTACTGGATGGGGTGGCCGCCCCTCTTCTGGTGGGCGGCCAGCAGCTTGTTCACCTCCCCCAGGATCAGCCCCGGCTCCACGGTGATGCTGCTGCCGTCGCCCTGCGCGCAGACACACAACAGCAAACGCGCCGCACAGCGTCGGGGCGCGTCGTGCGGGGCGGCGCCGGGGCCGCCGCGTCGCGGTCCTTGCGGCGGCGGCGCCTGGCGGGGGCGTCGCGCGGCGCACCCCAACCCTGCCCTGACGCCGCACTGGCACCGCCCAGTGCAGAAGTCCTGGGCCGCGTGGCACGTTTTTGCGGGGCCCGGCCCGCAACCACCCCAACGCAACGCAAGTTGCCGTACTCAACACCCCCGTGGTCACCCGCTACCTCCCGCAGCGACCGCTCACGTGGATGGTGAAGTTGCGGAAGTTCTTGCCCGTGTGGCTGAGCTTCAGGAGCACGCTGTCCGTGATCGCCTGGCCGCTCAGGCTGGTGCCCGCCGCGCGGAACGTGATGGGCACGCCGTGCTTCTTGGCAATCGGCAGAATGCGGCGGATCTCCGCCTCGTTGTGCACCTGCGTGGAATGATCGCCGCAGCAGGGCCGCACACAGTGGGTTGATGTCTTGTTCAAAACCTGCACTGCAGCCACCCCCGCTGTGCACTTCTCCACTACCAGGCGCCATTGAGCTGCAACCTTTACCCTGCGGGCTGCGCCGCAGCTGCTCTTGCTGCTCTCCAGCTGCAGCCCCGGGCCCAAGCTCCGAGCTGAACCCAAGGAGCGGCAGCCACTGCTCAGAACACCCGCACGTCTCAAGAGCCAAAAGCCAAGCCGGCCAAGCCTGTGAGCGCTGCAGTTGGGTGTTCTCCTGCTGCTGTCGACCCTGGAGCTGACCAGACACGACAGCCCCAGACGCGCGGCGCACCTTGACGACCATCTTGGGGTTGAGGCGGTAGAAGCTCGCGTCCGTGCCGTACGCCAGCGTGCGCACCGGGTCGGTGTACTGCCGCTCCTTGGGCACAAACGAGCTGATCTCGGCCGTAAACGCGGCGTAGCGCCCGTCCTCATTGCGGTGACCGTCCACGTTCCTGGGGCGGGGTTGCGTGCGGCAGCAGTCTGAGTCTGAGCCCTGCGGCTGCTGGGGCAGCGCGGGCATCGGATGCGGCTGGGAGGGGCATGGCCGCGGCGCCGTGCTTCTGCCCTGGTGGTAGCTACCACAAGACTGAGAACCAGGCGGTTCACATGCTCAAGGGCCCGCTGTCCAAGAAGACCCGTGCGGATGCAGCCGGCGCGGCCGCAGGAGTTGTTCAAGCTGCCGCGGGGGCCGGCGCTCACTTGAACACGCCGGCCTGTGCCTCGTCGGGCGACACCGCAGACACCGCGCCGAACAGGTCGATCTTGATGTCAGGGATCACCTCGACCTGCGGCTCGATCTTGACGGCCTGCGCAGCCAGGGCCTGGGGTCCGGGGCGCATGCATGGTGCCGCATGAGCGCGCATAGGGGCGTT